GATAACCACACTGCTCCAGGGCCTGTCGTGTGTGTGATTTCTCTTTCTCCCTACAAACCCAGGAGTCTCAGACTGAAGAAGTCTCTTGGAGGAGAGACGAAACGTTTCATTAGAGAAGAACCCGTCCAGAAGACCTATACAATTTTTTTCTTTTTGATTTTTTACCTGGTTTACTGAGATGTATCAGGATATTTATGAAATGTGTTCTAAGACATTAAAAGCTTGTAAATTTAGGAAAAACAAAAGACAAAAACCGGTGGACAAACCCTTTTCTATAAACTTTAAATAAGAGTAAACCAAGTGATTAAGGTCCACGGAGGTTTAAAACACATCAATTATTCTCATCATAAGAAAGGTTCAAATGTTCTGAAGCTGCCTGATGATTTTTCAGGGTTTCTGTGAATAAAACAGAATCAAATAATCATCATAATTCAGTTTCCTAACGGGCCACAGCTGTGTAAACATCTCGGCTCAGACCAGTGTTTTGGAGGTATTTCCCAGTCCTCGCCGCAGTTGAAAGACAAATTTCCCCCGGCCCGCTCAGACGGCTCGTTTGATGTGCCTGATACTCGAGCGCCTTCATCGCACGAGGCCCTGAACCCACCGTTACCTCCAGCTGCCGCAGACAGGGCAGGAAACAACATAATACACCAGCCGTTTCCATACTTTCTCCACAATTATTCTCTCTTTGACATAAATTTAAAAAAAACATGATTTAAATCTCCTGCAGCAGAGCAAAGAGATCGACTCGACCAGGTTTTGGCTGCAGGTTGAATTCCCTCCATGAGAGCTGCAGATGGGATCCTGCAGGAAAATATCCAACAGCAACAAACAAAACGTCTGAGAAAAGTCTGACAGAAAGAGAGGCGGAGCAGAGCAGGTTTCTGTTTATTAATTGAGCTGCTTTATTTAAAAAAAACATAAATGCAAAATTTCTTCTCAGAATAGATTATGTTGGTTTTTTTCATACTTCTAACTATTATTATCCAAGATTTTTACAGTTTTGTTCGTTGCAACAACTATTTGGCCTCCAGCCTGCAGGTATAATCAGCTGCATTGTCCATCAGCTCAGCAGCTGATTGTAATCAACTTCTTGTTTAAAACCAATTAAATATTTTCATGTTTCTGTTTTTAAATAGTAGGCTGTCATCACACTTTTGAAAAAAGCTGGGATTTGAAATGTTTCATGTCACCTCTGTGTTGTACCTTACTGTGCAAAACAAACATGTTCATCACCGTGTAAAATAACGAAAAATGCCGAAAAATTAACCTGAACTCCATCTGCAGAGGTTTTTCTACTGCAGAGTTAATTATTAAATAAATACTGTACTGTATTAATAAATTATTAATAAACATTCTGTAAGAAAACATATCATTGCTTTGCTGCAGAAGCACAAAAGACAAATAAATACAGCTGGTAAAATAAGTATTGARCACGTCAACATTTTTCTCAGTAAATATATTACTAGAGGTGCTAATGACATGAAATTTTCACCAGATTTTGGTAACAACCCAAGTGATCCATACATACAAAGAAATCAAACCATAAATGTCCAGAAATGAAGTTATTTGTAATAATGTGGAATGGCACAGGGAAAAAGTATTGAACAATGAAGAAAGGGAGGTGTAAAAAGGCATGGAAAGCCAAGACACCAGCTGAACTCTCTCAGTAATTAGAAAGCAAGCCTGCCCCTTGTCAGTGCAAGTTGATATCAGCTGGTTCAGACCCAAATGATGGCCAGGTATCACACAAGAACCATCTGATGATGGGTAAAAGTAAAGAGCTCTCTCAAGACCTTCACAACCTTATTGTTGCAAAGCATAATGATGGCATCGGTTACAGAAGAATGTCTAAACTTCTGAAGGTTCCAGTGAGCACTGTTGGGGCCATAATTCAGAAGTGGAAAGAACATTATTTCACCATAAACCGACCACGACCAGGTGCTCCTCACAAGATTTCTGACAGAGGAGTGAAAAGAATTATCAGAAGAGTTGTCCAAGAGCCAAGGACCACTTGTGGAGAGCTTCAGAAAGACCTGGAATTAGCAGGTACGWTTGTTTCAAAGAAAACAATAAGTAATGCACTGAACCACCATGGCCTGTATGCATGCTCACCACGCAAGACTCCACTGCTGAAGAAACAGCATGTTGAAGCTCCTTTAAAGTTTGCTGCACAACATTTAAACAAGCCTGTGTAATACTGGGAGAATATAGTCTGGTCAGATGAGACCAACATTGAACTGTTTGGATGCCAGAATACACATCATGTTTGGAGGTCAAATGGCACTGCACATCAGCCCAAAAACACCATACCAACAGTGAAGTTTGGAGGTGGGAACATCATGGTGTGGGGCTGTTTTTCAGCATATGGTACTGGCAAACTTCAAATAATTGAAGGAAGGATGAGTGGAAAAATGTACAGAGACATTCTTGATAAAAATCTGCTTCCATCTACCAGGATGATGAAGATGAAACGTGGCTGGACATTTCAGCAAGACAATGAGCCCAAACACAAAGCCAAGGAAACTCTCAGYTGGTTTCAGAGAAAGAAACTAAAGCTGCTGGAATGGCCCAGCCAATCACCTGACCTGAATCCAACAGAAAATCTATGGAAAGAACTAAAGATCAGAGTTCATAGAAGAGGTCCACGAAACCTTCAAGCTGTGAAGACTGTTTGTGGAAGAATGGGCCAAAATCACACCTGAGCAATGCATGCCACTAGTTTCTCCATACAGGAGGCGTCTTGAAGCTGTCATTGACAACAAAGGCTTTTGTACAAAGTATTAGRTAAATTTCAGTAAGTGTGTTCAATACTTTTTCCCTGTGCCATTCCACATTATTACAAATAACTTCATTTCTGGACATTTATGGTTTGATTTCTTTGTATGTATGGATCACTTGGGTTGTTACCAACATCTGGTGAAAATTTCATGTCATTAGCACCTCTAGTAATATATTTACTGAGAAAAATGTTGACGTGTTCAATACTTATTTTACCCACTGTATAAGCAATTTCCAGGTCCTGACACCCCCTTTTCAGATGGAGCCCCCTCCTCAAATATGAGCTGTATTGTAAAACAGTTTTAAACAGTAAAATCTGTATTAAACCAGTTAATCACCTGGTTAGACACTAAAGTAAAAGAGCACCTGGTGTTTCCTCCCGCAGGTATAAATCCAACGAGGACTACGTTTACGTTCGCGGTCGTGGTCGAGGTAAATACATCTGCGAGGAGTGCGGAATCCGCTGCAAAAAGCCCAGCATGCTGAAGAAACACATCCGAACGCACACCGACGTCCGGCCGTACGTCTGCAAGTTCTGCAACTTTGCATTCAAGACGAAAGGTACGRTCCGTGTTGTCAGCCTGCGGAACAGCTTTTAATATCTGATCTCTTTAACTTGTGTTGTACGAAGAACACGTCGGCACATTTCTACAAGTTTTACTACTTTCTGAGTGGAAGGAATAAAAGAAGCAGAGAGGCCAATCTGTGGTCAGAGCCCTCATCATGTCACATGTTAGACCAGACTGAGTCATTTTCTTATTATATTACTTTATGTATCGTGTGTAAATTGTAATTGTGGTCTCGCTCTTTTATTCCCCACCACTTCATCTTCCGTCCTCTGCGTTTTGGAGCAGATGAATGAGGCTCCGGTTTCCAGTAAGACCAGTCGGTATTAACTTGTTTTTGTTTGTGTTCTGCAGGAAACCTGACAAAGCACATGAAGTCCAAGGCGCACATGAAAAAGTGTCTGGAGCTCGGAGTCTCCGTGTCCTCAATTGAGGAAACAGAAACAGAAGAAGGAGGTAAGGAAATATTGTGGGTGGAGTCCAAATTCAGGGGCGGAGTCCTTCGAAGGCTGACAAACTCCTCCTATTGTGTCCTTTTTGTCCCAGTTTGAGGGAAGTGGTCTGTGTCCAAACTCAGGCCTGGGTCCTTCAAAGAACCCTATATACCTAGGTGGGCCAGGTCCTTGGTYGACCATAAAGACAGGAAAAAAATTGTCTGCTTTACTCTGGTCCTTACCCCTGACGATGCTAAACAGAAGCAAAAATGTATTGTGTTTAGCAAAATATCAATATATTAGTATTATAAACATCATAAAACAACTACATTAGCCTAAAGGCAATATTTGAAGAACTAATAGACCTGCTGTAGGTGCAGGTTTATTTCTCTATACCAGCTCGTTTGATATTAAATAAATGACTATACAAATGATAAAAGCATTAACAACACAAATGCTTGAAACTTTTCATTTTTATGCTGCCAGAATTTAAATTAAAACAGTACTTCTTTCTCATGCTTCTTCCACCATTACAAGCAGAAAAAAATCTCTGATCGGCTCGCAATGCATTATGGGATATTGTGGGCCKAGAAGGATCCATCAGACCAGTTGTTCGGTTTTTATCATTTGCATCAACAACATTTTGCTACTTTATATCTATTTTTTGCTTCTGTATGGATCAATACACACTTTGTGTGGAACAATACACACTAAGTATGGATCAATACACACTAAGTATGGATCAATACACACTGTGTATTGGTCAATACACACTATGTATGAAACAATACACACTAAGCATGGAATAATACACACTATGTGTGGATCAATACACACTAAGTATGGAACAATACACACTATGTATGGAACAATACACACAATTTATGGAACAATACACACTATGTATGGAACAATACACACAATTTATGGAACAATACACACTATGTATGGAACAATACACACAATTTATGGAACAATACACACAATTTATGGAACAATACACACAATTTATGGAACAATACACACTATGTATGGAACAATACACACTGTGTATGGAACAATACACACTATGTAT